CCCCAAAACCCCAAAACCCCAAAACCCCTCATGATTTGAGAAGATTGATAATTTTTTACTTATAAAGCTTGTTGCATTCAGAATTTTTAAGTTTTCCATTAAGAACTAAAAATGGTTTACAATAAATAAAAGAGCTTCACAGTCTAATGAATATACTAAATTTATCCAGGATCTTTCTGCAGATTACAGGGTTAGATCTGGAGACATCTAAATTTTAAACATCTAAGAGGATATCATCAAACCGTCTTCTGAAAACATTACCCTACAACAGAAATAGGTAATAAAAAACTCTTCTGGCATCACTAGCCATTGAATGTGCTTTTTGGATTGTAAGACCCCACGTTTAAATTCATCTGACTTTTGAAAAGATATTGAAGAAGATTTAAGAGAACTTAAAATGAGGAGGCAAAGGAGCATCGACTCTAATAGAATAAATACATCTAAATGATTCTATGCGATAAAAGTGTTTGATTCAGATAGATCTCATAATTATCGACCAAAGAATTATCAGAGAATAATGAAAATTGGTAATAAGTTAAAGAATGAAGTTATTTCTTTAAGTTTTAATGATAATGATCTGATATTATATCAATATTGTGCGTCAGAAAAGTGGAGAAAGGAGATTGGAATAATGATTCTGCAGATAACTCTGATTTTGAAGATTCTAGAGTTGAAGAATCCAAGACTGCTAATTACAAGACTTTAAAGAATTTTAGCAACATAAAATTATAGATAATTCCTGAAAAAATTATTTTTCATAATATGGTTTATTCGCTCGAAATTAAGTATTCTTGGATTCAGGTCTGGAATATTTTCCCTAATAACATTGTTTGCACCCGCATTCTCCTTTAATTACTCACTTTCAATTCTTCTTTAGAACCTCGAGCTATTTTTTGACAGCAAGAGCATAATACACAAATTCTTCAAGGGTCTCCATTCCATTTAAATTTAAGAATTTTAATTCTAAGAGGATATCACAGTATCACAAATAAGGAGCATAAACACTACTGCAGCAAGCAAACAAATTCAAGGAAGGTCAAGTAGGTCTAAATCAAGCATTGAAAATCAATGAAGAGGCTGTATATCCAGAGGTTCTCCCCCTTTCAGCACTGATTATCCTTAAATTTAACCTGAATGAATTTGCACTCAATCTGAAAATTTTCCAAAGGGGTTTTGGGGTTTTGGGGTTTTGGGG